AATTTCTTGTGAGTAAAAAAAAAATGCATTGAGTATTAAGATATTTTAAATTTCACTTAAAATTAATTTATCTTTGTAATTAACCCTTAACAGAAGAGACAAAGTAAAGCATCGTTCTTTCTGTGAAGCAGTGTAATTTTAAATTTGATATTACATGCTATATTTAGACCCTTAAGCAGACAGGTCAGTTGTATTTTCAGTCTGTGGTCTGTTCCACTTTCTGGGTCTCACATACGGGACAAGAGATAGCTCCCAGGTTTGTGCCAGCTCTTCCTTCCCGTGCCTTTGTGAGAAACCAGCATGATGGTAACAGGGTGCTTCAGGTGGATTGAGACAAATTGAGTTTAGGCTTCTTGCTTTCAGCATTTCTATAAGAATATTTAAATTAAATGAGCTATTTTGCAGGAAAAACGCTAACCTATGCAGATGAGGTTTTGTATTCCTCATTCCCATTAGTTTATTAAACGTGACATGTACTTCTGGGACTTGTGCCATGTGCATCTTTTGTCAATCTGAACAACCCCTTATTCTCTTCTTGTTGCGAGAGTGTTTCTGGCGCTGCAGCCTCTCCAGGAAGGTTAGCACCTCCAGGATTGCAAAAATCTTTGTGTCCCTGCTCCCATGGAAACGTGGCAGGGGTCCCCATGGGAGGAGCGGGGCCGTCCATTGTTCCCGCAGAGCTCTGCGCCGCTGCAGCTGCCGAGCGAGCGCAGAAGGGACCCCGCGCCCTCCCCGCGGGTCTTGGCCCTCGGGACACAGAGCCCAGTACTGACATTAGCAGGGTCCCAAATGTTGTCAAGGTGTGTGGTAGCTTCTCCCATTCAGCCTTCTTCCTTTCTCCTTACTCTAATAGGTATATACTGTTGGTCAGCAAGGTAGCTTTTTAAATCCTGATACCCGAATCAGGTTTTGTGTGGTTTTACTCCAATTTTTGTCTGTTTTTTCCCCCTGTAATTATATTGAACACATCACTTATTAAAGGTTATCATCATCTTTCTGACATGGGAAATGCAAGTTGTTCTGAGCAATCCTGCCAGCTTCAGCAGCTGCTAAAACTTTCCTCATTGATGCCAAGTGGACCCAGATACCAGCATCTGTCCCCTAAAGGCTGCTGTTTAGTATTTGTTACTTGGAGGTTAATCCCTCAAAGCTCAACGTTCAAGAGTTAACACTCTGGTGGAGCATGAGTTTCCTGAGGGAGTAGGATGTCTCTCACTCTTCAAGAGTCACTCACCGAAGCGAGTTGCCGTTTGGGAGCTGACATTAAACAGCAGCCTGATGGGCTCCAGGCAGATGGCTGGGACTTACACAACTCAGCGTGGGTCTGAGCAGAGTAAAGGTGCATGGAAATTCATGCTGCAAACATCAGAAAGCTCACTCTTCACGTTTGGGACAGGTTGGTGGATTTTGAAACATTACTGGCAAAACTGGGTTTGGAAGTCTCAGTCTATCTTGTTATTTATGAGGTTACCTTCCCAGCAGAAGATCTCACAGCCATCCGTGTTGTGTTTATGGCTTCTGGTTCTTGTCTTGGTACTGTGAGAAGTAGGTGGCATCCCCAAGCTGGGTTTTGGATGTGATGCCAGGTGGAAAAGCTGGGCACCATTCAGACTGGGAGACCATGAACTCATTTCAGAACAAGTGCCAGAAAAGAAAAAGGGTATCTAGGTGCCGTGACACAGGACTGTGAGCGGGAGCTGTTGGTGAGCAGAGCCATGGTAGCAAAGTCTCCCAGTGGCTGACGGACGGGACCAAGCAGAGGTGTCTATGGCCAACATGCTGCATCCCTGGCCAGCATCCTCCACTGTGGCCAGGAACCCTGCCAGCACTGTCCTGTGTCCAGCCTGACAGGGTGTGCGGGGCCCCAGTTTCTAGCTGAGGCTTTTACCCGCATTAGATTGAATACTGACAAATGGTTAACATTCATTCCAGTAAACAGTTACTAGTAACTTAGCTTTTTGTTAGCTTTTTAGGTGACCTTTACAATGTTTACTTAGTAAATATGCCCCAGGTGGATAAAATTAAGAAAAAAAAAAAGTGGGTTTTCAGATAACTTTGGCTGTTTTTTGAGGCTTGTATTAGTTCTGCTGGCAGAATTTACACAGAATCCTTTCAAGAGCATCTATGGTGATGTGCTTTAAGAAAAAAACAAAGCAACAAACAAAGCCAAACAAAAAAAAATACCTCATACTCTGTGCTGTAATTTTATTCCTGGATGGCAGTTACTTGCCTGTTGTACTCTTACCTGTATGAATCAGTCTCTGGTTCTTCAACATGAACACCCAGGCTTCGTCCTTGCACTAGCCCATTGTTACGATCTTTTACCACAGCGTTAGGAGCAGGATCTCGTGCGTGCTGAAAATGCACACACGGTTCTTGTTGGGAGCGGGGTCTGGCCTGTCACGTAGAGACACTGGGTCCTGCACGCTGTTATCGCAGGTGGCAAAGACACCATAGGCCGGCAAAAATCATATATCATAGTTGGCACGGGGTGTATTATTTCTACCTAGTGCATTATTTCCTTGAGGAACCTGTCGGGGGGGATGCCAGGTAGTGCACGAGGGCATCCCCTAACCCTAATCACTGAGCTGAGGAACTCTGAATCCACTGTCACGATTTGTCATGGCACAAAAGCTGCTTATTTTTGTCAAGATTGCTGCCGAGTAGGAAGACAGGAACAGGTTAAATTCTGCTATATGATCTGTTTTTAATTGTTCTGGCTGAGCTGAGAGCAGTGAGACTTTGATGTTGGCATCAAAGGAGTGGAGGGCTGCTCTACCTACTCTGCAGTAAGGGAAAATTGACATCCTATTGCCACTTTTCTCTTAAAAAATGAATGTAATACCTTCATGTCTGAGAATCCTAAAACAGGCATGCCAGAAACTCCTGGGAGTGGGTCCAGTAGTTGAAGGAAGATACGGTCAAACTTAGATTACCAAATTGCATGATTCTCAAGGTTCTTTTTTTTTGGTGCATGGTAGGATAATTTCCTGTGGCCATATAGATATATATATATATATGCGTGTGTGTGTGTGTGTGTGTGTATATATATATTAAAAAGCCTCTCACAAGTCAAGTTCTACTTTAGAGACCTGAGCACAAGAGCATCAGGTGCTTTGGATATCCTGTCCCAGCTTGGACATATTGACCTTGCTGGGCAAAACCTTGCTGCTGGGTAGGAAGTAGAGGCACAGACCCATGGGGGGCCAAGCCCAGGGTGATGGGGGGGGCAGCAGCCGTGGAGATGCCGGCAGTGCCTGGCTGGACCGAGCAGCGTGGGCAGTGGCTCATGGGCCCTGTGTCTGCAAGTGCAGGAGATGCGTCTACAGCCTCTGGCTGCCTCTGTAGTGACGTGCAGGTTTTATCGGGATTCTCACTCTCTTTACTGCTCAGACCAACTTCAGTGTTTGTAGTTGGCAGCTGAACGGCTCCTTCAGCACAAAATGACTGTGTGCTGTGGTACAGAAAAGCCAGAGGGTAGGTAGAAATTGTCATTTCTTTCTAGATGACAAGCAAAAATATCAAAGAGGAAAAAATCAACATGATGCACGAACAAGCAAGTAATAAGAATGAAAGGCAAAGGATACTATCGAAAGCAATTTCAATCTCCGGCATATCCACTGGGCATGTTCTGTTAAAAAACAATTTTGCACTCCGTAGATGTATCAGGCCTTTTTCTCTCTGCCCATGAAGCTGGTAATGGATTTTGGTTTTCTCATGCTCTTGTTTATATCAAAGCAAAGACATAGTAATTTTATTAAATGAAGCCTGTCTTAATAGGTTTAATTAAAAATGAAAATGGCATGAGGAACAAAATTTGGGTCTGAGTTTCTCTAGAATTTGGAGTTTGGGTGTGATAAGTGGAAGCATCTCTCCTCCCTTGTGTCTAATTAAAATAATAAGACATGCTAATTTGTAAGTGCTAATTTAATACTGTTACACTGTCTTCCACTAAAATCATCGACACCTACTGGTTGTGTTTTCATATTTAGTGTGTCTGAAAGTAGGAAGGCTTTTAGTAGTAGTGAGCATTTTGGCAAAGCTTTCAGATGGCGGCTTCTGTAATTTCAAGATATAACATTAGGCAGTATTCCGTTTGCTTCATTTCTAATTGGCACCGCTCTCAAGCTGCTTGGATTTGATTGGGGTTTGTGGTGTGTGTCCCGGGAGAGTGAGATTATTCTCAGGCGTAGTTTGTTACACAGCATGTTCTTGCCTTCTGTAACAGATGTATGTGCCACCTCTTGCAATTTCACAGAATATAGCACTGGAACAATTTGCTTGCTTGCCTGGGATTCTGAAGGGGTTTGGAAGGTTTGTTACTATCAAAGGAGGATAGCATTTGCAAGAAGGGAGGCTCAGAAAACTTGTCATGTAATGGACACCTCATCTGTTTGCTCTTAATGGGCTACTCTAGGAAGATTTTGTTTTTTCTTTTAAACTTCAACAGAAATGTTGAGGATTGGATAGAATTTGGATCTGAATTTCTCAAAAAAGAGAAGCTCAAGAAATACTGTAGCTGTCTGAACCGCTGTAGTGCATAAAGTTCAGCACAGGCATAAGTACCTCTTGAAATCAGCACTATTCATGACTCGGTAACATTTTTGATAACCACTAATGTCAAGGACTATACTTATGTCTTTTTTTGTTTCAAGAAAATTTCTAATTAGAAAGGGCTCAGTTTCACGTAGAATGAATTTTGTTTGTCTGCTAACTCTGGTTTCTCCTGAAATCACTTCTGTTTCCTTCACATTATTTGCAGTGGTGTCCCACTGATGTAGAACAGCTGTTGTTTAACTTCTGGAGCAAAACATTTTCTGAGCAACTGTCACTTAGCTTGATACAGATCTCGGAGCCCTGATATAAAGGAATGATCCAATCTTTTTAGCGTTACTTGCAAAGCAGAGCTCTTTTTAAGTTTGAACCATTGTACTTTTCTGTGGACTAGATGTTGCAGGAAACCCTAGTCATGCTGCTTTTTTCCATTTATTTTCTGACAGATGATTCAAGAGAGCAGGGTTCTCATTGAGACGGCAGACATCACTCACGACAAGATTGTTCAGTGCCAGAAAGCAGGTAATCCTTCTTTATTGTGCAGTTCTGGATGGGAGATGGAAAATGATGTGCCATGATTGACTTACAGTTTGTGACTAATGCAGCGTCTTTCACCTGGGATTTAGGTGAGCATCCTGGTCTTCCCTTGGCAGACTCCACCCTCCTGAAGGCTCATCCTTCAGGAGCAATGCAGGCATGGGATCAGTGAAAAATCCTCAGCTTTTACCTTCACAGCTCCATCTGCTCTACAGCTCTGAAATGTCTGACAGCATTTAAATTAGTCAAATGAACTAGAAAGGCATTCAGTTAAAAAGAGGCAGTGAGAAGGTGCACTGCCTTTACTGACCTCCATTCTCTACCACAATCGTTCCTTTAAAACCAGAGGTAGCAAGAGGTTTCAAAACCCACAGGACCAAGCTCTGTTGTCTACCTTTACTTACTTTTGCTGTTTAAGTTTGGTTTAGACCTTGGAAACTTATGCCAATATAATTCCGTTGTATCACAGTGTATCCGTGTGGCTATGCATTATGTAGATCAGGTATATGGGTGCAAACCACTGTAAGCAGGCTTAAAGTAGATCATATGTTGCTGGTGTATTGTACTGGATGTCTTTATCTGAACTAGGGCTCTGTCTCGCGTGCACCAGTAGACAGGGAAGAGGTGGTGTCAGAGGTGGCCACCCACTTCAGCTGATTCATCCAAACCGCTCT